ATATATATATATATATATGTATATATATATATATGTATGTATGTATATATATATATATATGTATGTATGTATGTATATATATATATATATGTATGTATGTATGTATATATATATACATATATGTATGTATGTATGTATATATATATATGTATATATATATATATACATACATATATACATACATATATATATATATACATATATATATATATATGTATGTATGTATATGTATGTATACATATATATATATACATATATATATATATATATATATATATATATATATATATATGTATGTATGTATGTATATATATATATGTATGTATATATATATATGTATATAAACAATGAAAGTATATACACATATGTATATACTTGCTAAGATGTATATGTATGTATTAGGAGAGGAGATGTTAGATCTGATTCATGCAGCAACAAAGTTACATCTCAAAACATAAGTTTACTGTCTGCATGTTCTCATCAACTGACTTGTTCTGAAACCATCAATCTCTCGTAACATTGCTGCAACCAACGCATGGACCATTTTTCTTAGATTTACCGAAGATATTCTCAGATGAGTTTCTGCTATCTACTGCAAACATGCAAATCCACGGAGTAAAAATGTGAAGCTATTATCATCACCTACTGCTTCAGTCTCATCCTCAAACATATTTTTTCCACACAGTTCTTGCGATAACTACATCTATAAAGATAAGAATGGTCTATACAGTGGTAAAATAGAAGTTCCGAAGGTTCATATGAATAATGAAAGATTTGATTATGCTTCAAACATGCTCATATTGTCAGGTGATTAATCACTTGCAAGATCTTCCTAGTTGTTAGCTTGCTCATCTTTAGCCTGTTAACTAAAAGTTTATTACTTGATAGATATTGATCTAGTGAATATAAATTAAAGAAGAAAAAAATAAAAATAATGTAGTCAAATGAACATGTTATACAGTTAATAGCACTCATAATACATGAATTATGGTACACATGTGTCGTGGATATTAACTTTCTTGGCTAACAATTAACATGGAAATTAAGCATCACATGTTGACAGGACTAAGCATAACATCCATATCCAATTGAAATCAGTTTCTCTCACAGATTTCTAATTCAAGGGCTGAGATGATGGAACCAACAAAATTGGTGCATCAGAAGCAACTTAGTTTTTGGAGAAACATTCACATATGCACATAATGACTTGAAAAAACTGTAACCAGTAAAGTTGTTATACCTACTACCATGGACTTTAACCTTCATGCTTCATGCATAGACATCTTTAGCATATGGACTTCATGAGAACCACATCAAAATTCAAAGGTGCTTGAGCCACTAGCTCAGTTTGCTCTTTGTTCAAGCATCCTCAGGTCATCCTTTAAGAATTATAATTTTCTAATATAGCATTATTTTTTGCAATGAATATACTATACTGTTTACAAATTTTTCCTATAAGCTTTATCGACCTTGATTTTGATGGTAGAATCATATGCCCTCATGTTTTCTGTAGTTTCAACTTTATACAACCAACAAAAAAAAAAAATCTATCAAGACACGAGTCTTGCAAAAGACAGTTCACTTGATTTAATGCATCGGTCCTAAACAGAATTATGAACCATATCATCCAGCCAAAAATTCTATAATATTATGCAAAAAATACTTCCCTTGTTCTGTCCAATCTTGTCAACATGATCTTCTGACAAAAGGCAGTTGAAATTAGGGTACAAAGAAATCTTGAAATTTGGTGATACGTAACATCTGTGGTTGGATGGAACAAAATAGTAAGCTAGACATAATGTAAAGTACTAGAAGTTTCAACAACTCTAAACAAAAAAGCATACTGCAAAAGAAACATCAGACACAACTTTGCCAGTCATGTAAATTTTAGAGTTTTGCAGCTAAGTAGGAATGAATTTGCAAACAAAAGTGGGGAAAAAACTGTATAAAACAGGAAATTTTTGTGGTCTGTGGTGATACAAGCACTACCTGGGGTAAAGACAAGTTCTATTCAGCAATGCTAGCTGAGTGCAGGACAAGAGAAGATAAAAAACAACAATATTCTTACCTTGAAGAGCAAGCCCTTGCACCTCTGGCAACCAATGGCCAAACTTTCAACCCTAACAAGAGATGGAACACAAAGGTCGAAAAGAGCAGGAAGAACAGAATCAAGAGAAGCCTGCAACTAAGCCATATTTAGCAATAAACCTCTTCTGATTGCAATGAAGCATATCGCTCAGACTACAATGTATGTTCTTTTGTTTCAAAAGTTTGTGCCGCAACTCCAAGCTCTTCTTCATACCATGTCGAAAGAACTCTGGACAATCTGCTATCTCACCGATTTCCCTTCCCATGTCTTCAACCAAGAATCTGATTTTGGGTTCCAAGGATTTGTTGACACTCTTGATTAGAACAGGGGGATATCCGGCAACCAATGTTGCAATTTGTTTACTGTCAAATCCACATCTCTTCAAGAATGCTAAGTTGGGTTTTAGAACCCTATTAACATCCCTACAGATTACTTCAGGGAAATTGCAAATCACTCTTTGCAAATTCTGTTCATCTAAGCCTATCGACTTGAGAAATTCTGTGGTTGGTCGAAGCCGTTTCTCAACACTGTAACCTACTAAGAATGGATTTTTCACCAGAGTTTTACCAATCAAGCCTTCCTTATTGAGACCAATGCTTGCGAGGAAATCAGTAATCCGAGTCAATTTCGTTTCGATGCTGTAACTGATGAGCCTTGGATTCAACAGGAGCATCTTACCCAGTTGCTTCTCCGAGATTCCTAGCACCTGGAAGAAAGCTAGTAATGGGCAGAGCTTATCTTCAACACTGTGTGAGAGAATGTTTGGGAATTTGGTGATGGCCGAGGCCACTTCGCCAGGCCTTGATCCCAAGGTCGCAAGGCACTGGACGGTAGGCACAAGCTTCTGATTCAAGCCCAAAGTGAGGACTTTGGGGCACTTGAAAACAACATACGGAAGCTTCCTCTTCTGAACCCCAATGCTTTCCAAGTAATTCCAATTCTCACTCGCTCTGTCTCTTCCTGTGATCTCCAGTGGATTGCATCGCCTCACCATTCTCTTTATGCTTTCATCATCAAACCCTTTCTCCCTCAAGAACTCAACAATTGTGAGCTGCTGGTCTGTGCTCCTTTCCATCTCCCTAAAGACACCAATGTGGTTGGAGCCTGAGTGGTACAAACTAATAAATCTAGAAAACAAAAAGTAGTGGCAAACTATGTATTCATCATGCAGCGCAAGATCTGTAAGAAGATTAAGCAAAAATATGACTGGAAGCAGGAATAAACCATCAGAAACTACACATCAAGTTGCCAAAATTCATCCTTTTTTCTTCTGCTTACCCATCCCAAGGTGAAATTAGTGCATGAAGTCTTAATCTACTTTCGCAATTAGCATGGAATGAGGAAACAAAACACTTGAATCAGAATATCAAAAATATAATCATGGAAGATATAAACAAGGATTCGCGGTCGCAGAAAAACTTGCTTCTATCAAAAAAATCTGCAGTACACAAAATTGCTGACCTTCTTCTTCAGTCACCCACTGCAGAGCGAGACCTTATCCCAAGCAGACGTTATCCCTAACAGGAGACCGGAGTCGAAGAAGCCTTATAAAGAATCATCGACCTTATCTCTCACTGTCACGAGAGCGTTTGTTCATTAAAGAGATGGGCGCTGATGTGGTCCCTGTGTTTTCTCCAATAAAATACGGGTAGTTTGGTGGGTATTGGAAACGATGTTGCTCTTTCTTTTTTTTTAATCTAGAAACCCTAAACTAATTCCCAGAATCCACATTTGCTTCTTCCTCCGCGGCCACAGTTGAAGAGAACGCTGCAAACTAAGCTTCGATCATGGAGAGATGCATGCCCGCGACCGGCTTGGGTACGAGTAACAATACTGACAGACCGATGAGAGGCGAGAGGCGCAGGGGCGATGGCTCCCAAGACCTTTTCCTTTGTAATCTCAACTTTGCTGACGACGGCGACGAGGAGAAGCAAAGGGTGGCACGAAGAAGCGCCTCTGGCTCGAGCCTCCGCTATATCATTATTGCATGTGGGGCAGCAAACCCACGAAGAGAGACCATCCAAAAGAGGATTTTGGTCAGTTCCCGCAGTCGCCATTCAAGGATTTCTGTCGAAATTATATGGATGGCTTCGGGGTTTCGCGGCAGAGATCGTCGTCACGGTCTGCTGGACGACGTAGGGGAGAGGAACGCTGGAGAATTTTGATTGTGGCGGGTGAGGAAGCGATCGAATTGGGGATTCTCCGGCGCAAAAGTCCAATCTTGGAGAAGTTGGCTGGCATAACGTAAGAAGGTGGAGGAAGCCGATCAAAAAGATAGAAATTGGTGGGTGAGTCTGCTGGACGACATTGGTGGTGGCTGAGTCTGCCACATAGGAGGCACCACCAGAAGTCACCGATGACATTTTCAAGAAGATCAAGGTGACCGGGCTAATACCTAATGCTGTTGCCATGGTTGTTGTGCTCTGCAAAGCGGGCTAGTTCAGGAAGCCATGAAGCTGTTTGGATTAATGCGTCAGAAGGGTATGGTACCTTATGATGTGATTCACATTGCTGTTGTGGCAGGAGTCCACAAGACAGCAAAATTTGATGATATAAGGAGGATCTTCAGGAAAATGCATAAGCACAGAGTTGTGCCGATTGCATTCAGCTACAAAATTCTCATTCAGGACTTATGCAGAGGATAGAAATTGGAGGATTCAGTTGAGTTCTGCACGGAGATTGTTGGGCACCGGGCATTCACCAAGTGTGATGGCTTTTATGGGTTTGTGATAAGCAGATAAGATTTCCTCAAGGCAGTTGAGGAAATCTCTCAGCAGTTGAGAAAAATCCTCCATGCTGAATGTGTATAACCTCCGAGTGTGTATAAATGGCTGTCAAGAACTCACTATCAAAATGTATTAGGCAATTATATCTTATACATTTCATAGTTTCTTCTACAATTTCTATCTTTCTATCTTCTTCGCTTAATTTCTATCATGGTATCAGAGCTGTTTGCCTAGAGCAAACCCTCTTCTCTGGAGTCCAACCATCCCTCTCGTGGCGACGCCTCCGCCCCTCAGCCGTAGCCATTCGCTGCAGCCTACTGCAGCACTTGCGGCTGCTAATATCAGATCCTAAAGGAAGCACAGTCACGACCTTTGTTTCTACCGCCGGCTGCTGCTCCCTTGCCAACCGAAGTCTTCCGCTGAAAACTCCGCTGCTTCCGGCCATCAAACTCCAATACTGCATTACTGCAACTATCTCCAACCTTGCAGATTTCTCCAGCATCGCTGTAGAAATCGCTGCAAGCTGCAGAGATTTCTTCCACCTCGCTGCAATAATCTCTCCTGCACTTTGAATCGCTGCAGCCTACTCTGCAGCGCATCGATCTGCTTTTCTCCTCCTCCCCGATCTGCTTTTCTCCTCCTCCCTTCCTCCTATATCTTTACATCTTCTATAAAGATCACTTGACCCGCCACAAAATATCTGGGATGTCTTCATTTTCCTCTTCCGATATTCCTGTCCCTATTTCTGCAGGGACTCTGAGCACTTCTCAAAGTCTTATCACCATCAATGCTGCAGCACTCATTCCCTTCAAATTATCCAAAGGCGGCAACTACGCATCTTGGCGGGT